GATCACCTGGAGGGGGGTGAGGAGGGGGTGGAGGGGAGAGGGAGATTTCAGCCAGTGTGTCGAGGTCTGTCGACAGATTCCGAATAAGTATAACCCGTAAAAACAAAGTTTTTCACTATAAATCCTTTATATGCGTGGCGGCTAGAGTCCTCTTGTCCTCTGGCTTGAGATGGCTGCCACCTATGGGTCAGATGATTGCATGGCACCATTAAGCAATTGGTAATTAAATGTAATATTTTTGTCCTAAAAAGTGTAAAATTTTGGAAAAACCTTTTCACGAACATTAATTGTCACGCACAACGAGTCTGTGTGGAAAATGTCAGCTCGATTGAATCACGGGAAGTGGGTTAAGAAACGACCGAAATATTTGCACGGTCGTAAGCAAGCAAGCGAACTTAATATAAAGGATTTAAAAATTGTTTCGGCCACAGGCACAACCGCTTACATCGCTTCAGGTGGGCACTATTACCTTAAAATAAATATACAGTAAAACCTTGGATTGCGAGCATAATTCGTTCTGGAAACGTGTTGTAATCCAAAGCACTCGTATATCAAAGCACTCGTATATCAGTTGTGATCACGTGACGCTCGACAGACAAAGCGTACACACGTACTACTCGTATTGCAAGACCTCGCTCGTTTATCAAATGAATGTTTATTTAAAATGTTTGCTCGTCTTGCAAAACACTCACAGACCAGGTTACTCGCAATCCAAGGTTTTACTGGAGTTGAATAGTAATTCCAGTGGTTGTTAACCTTTATTGCAGGCCTTGCACCCCTTTGGTTCTCAATCGTCATGTGTTTTGTTCATAATGTTAACAAATACATGGGTTTGATTAAACAAAGTAAGTTGTTACTTTAGGTGCCTGTGCTTAATTTATTTTTTAAATCCTTTATATTAAGTTTGCGTGCTTGCCTTGCTTGCTTGCTTAGGACGTGCAAATCTTTCGGTCGTTTTTAACCCACTTTCCCGTGATCCAATCGAGCTGACATTTTCCACACAGACTCGGTTGTTTGTGACAATGAATTATCGTGAAATTTTTTTCTCCAAAATTTTACACTGTTTAGGAAAACAAATTAAATATTTAATTACCAATTGCTTAATACTGGCAGACAATCATCTGACCCATAGATTGCAGCCATCTCAAGCCAGAGGACGAGAGAACTCTAGCCGCCACGCATATAAAGGATTTAGAGTGAAAAACTTTGTTTTACGGGTTTACTTGTTAAATCCTTCATATTAAGTTCACTTGCGCGCTTGCTTGCTTGCTTGCTTACGACCGTGCAAATCTTTCGGTCGTTTTTAACCCACTTCCCGTGATCCAATCGAGCTGACATTTTCCACACAGACTCGTTGTGCGTGACAATTAATGTTCCTGAAATTTTTTTCCCAAATTTTACACTTTTTAGGACGAACATATTATATTTAATTACCAATTGTTTAATGGTGCCATGCAATCAGCTGATCCATAGGTAGCAGCCATCTCAAGCCAGAGGACGAGAGGGACTCTAGCCGCCACGCAATATTAAGGATTTGTAGTGAAAAACTTTGTTTTTACGGGTGTATACTTGTTTCTTCTAGATTTGAAGCTTTCGTGACCGCACCTTGATACAGTAAATTTAGCTGTGACGGTACCACCTGAAGACGAAGACTTGTGTTGCCTCCGAAACGTCGTGATTATATTGAGTTATTTTCATTTATTATTATTTTATTTTTACTATTTCTTACCTACGTGACTTTACCGAAAAAATCTAAGAGTATGTGCTTAATTTGTCTTTTTGATGATTTGCCTTCTAAAAATAGTCTGGCCGTGTCCCGCACCCCCAGAAATGGCATCTGGCAGCCCTCCTGCACCTAGCCTGGCACAGCAGTCAGTCAACCCACGGCACCCCGGGTATGTCCCGCGACCTGCACCTAGCCTGGCACAGCAGTCAGTCAACCCCACGGCACCCCGGGTATGTCCCGCGACCTGCACCTAGCCTGGCACAGCAGTCAGTCAACGTACAGCACCCCGGTTCTGTCCCACGACCTACACCTAGCCTGGCACAGCAGTCAGTCAACCCACGGCACCCCGGTTCTGTCCCGCGACCTGCACCTAGCCTGGCGCAGCAGTCATTCAACCCACGGCACCCCGGGTCTGTCCCACGACCTGCACCTAGCCTGGCACAGCAGTCAGTCAAGCCACGGCACCCCGGGTCAGTCCCTCGACCTCCTCCTGTGTCAAGATGCACCCCCGGGTTAAGAAGAAACCACCACGACTGCGTTAGAACCCTCACCTTGCTCCAGACGGACGGCCTAGTGGCCAGGCAGGAGCAGGCGGCCACGAACCAGCAGTTTCCCAGCGTGCCTTGGTTCAGGTCGTGAGCGCTGATGCCTCCGATCACCATGCGGGGAAAAGTGCACAGCTCCTGCGGGTGCAATGCAAATCCAATTGATAACTTACATTGTTACCGGCAAGTCATCGCTTGTCGCGTGGCGGTGTTCATGCTGCAACGCGGAATTCGCCCCGTTATAATGCGGACTGCGCCCCGTTATAACGCGAAACGTGCCCCGTTATAACGCGGCTTCTGAGCGATCGACGACGAACTACTTTATATTCGATATAAAGCTTTCGTGACTGCAGGGATTCATCTTCTTGGTTCTTTCGGTAAAGTCACGTAGAAGGGAAATAATAAATAATAAAAATAAAAACAATTACATTTCGATTTAAAGCTTTCGTGACTGCAGGGATTAATCTTCTTTGTTCTTTCGGTAAAGTCACGTAGAAGGGAAATAATAAAAGAATAATAATTAAACATAATAAAATAATTCTCACGACAGACCTGTTCTTCACCTGAGGACGGCTGCTTGCGTGAGAATTATTTTATTGTTTTATTTTATTATATTATTATTTCCCTTCTACGTGGCTTTACCGAAAGAACCAAGAAGACGAACTACTTTCTTGAGCTGCACTCGCCTGAGCGGAGTGATACAGTACGCGGAACGATGCAGGAACGCGGTGGTGGCGTAGTCTCGGTTATTTGTCCGTGCCATCTCGTTGTGCGTGTGCACAGTGGTAGTAAGTAGTGAGTTGTCGTTATTACATTATTTATTGGGGAAATATTTTCTCTTAACGCGACATCTACGATTGCGCTAAACGAGGACTCGCTCTCATCAACCTCTCCAAAAAAAGAGTGTTTTGGCCTACTCTTCCACGCTGCTGTCCAAACGTCGAAAAAGAAAGAGGTGGGAGTTAGTCGCGGTTTACCCCCACCCGCACGGGTTTGTGCCAATCGACCCTGGTGATGGTGGTGGACACCATTCGCTGCACCGCATGTCAATATCGACTCGATTTGGATGTCTAACATGGTCCAGCCATCGCATCGCCCCCCCATCCCGATCACGTGTGAAACCCGTGACCAGGATCCTCCTGGGAGATAAAAATTAACCCGTAAAAACAAAGTTTTTCACTATAAATCCTTTATATGCGTGGCGGCTAGAGTCCTCTCGTCCTCTGGCTTGAGATGGCTGCCACCTATGGGTCAGATGATTGCCTGCCAACATTAAGCAATTGGTAATTAAATATAAAAAAAAATCCTAAAAAGTGGAAAGTGTTTGAAAAAAATTTTCACGAAAATAAATTGTCACGCACAACGAGTCTGTGTGCAAAATGTCAGCTCGATTGGATCACGGGAAGTGGGTTAAAAAACGACCGAAAGATTTGCATGGTCGTAAGCGCGCAAGCAAGCAAGCGAACTTAATATAAAGGATTTAAAAACAAACGAAGATTCGCCGAGCTCATGCGAGGCTTTGCTTGGTGAACAGGGCAAGGTACACAGAGGAGGTGAGCTCGTCCATGAGGTTGGAAGACTTCCCCTGTGCACAGTGTGTGATTGACTTGTACGCAGTAGGGGGCACGGATGGTGCATCTGCCAGTCATCTCAGTCGGGAGAGCAATGGCACCAGCTGGGTCTGTCCTGTGACCTCCTCCTGCACGTAGCCTGGCACAGCAGTCAATCCATGACACCCCAGGTCTGTCCCGTGACCTCCTGCACCTAGCCTGGCACAGCAGTCATCCCACGGCACCCCGAGTCTGTGCCGTGACCTGCACCTAGCCTGGCACAGCAGTCAACCCACGGCACCCCGGGTCTGTCCCGTGACCTCTTCCTGCACATAGCCTGGCACAGCAGTCAACCCACGGCACCCGAGTCTGTCCCGTGACCTCCTGCACCTAGCCTGGCACAGCAGCAGTCACCCCACAGCACCAGCTGGATCTGTCCCGTGACCCTCCTGCCAGCAGCGAGCCTTCGACACTTTCACGTGCTGGCCTCAGATGTGCACCTAGCCTGGCACCGGCGCCGTGTGTGACGTGGCCGCCACTTAGTGGCGAATGTTGTTGCTGTTGTTGTTGTTTATTGTTGTTGGAAACATTCTGGCGCACCCCTCCCCTCCCCCACTCGCCCCCTCCCCCATCCATTCCGAATCATCGTAGGAAAGCAGCCAAAGCGGAGGGTGCCGTGGCTCTGTTGTCAAGATGTGAACTCTGCTGAGCTGTCGTTCGTGGCCAGGGCCGCTTCGGAAAAAAATAATTGAACACTTCAGTGGGGCTTTGCCTGGTAGGATGTGGGATGGTTTAGTGTCGCACATGCATCTGTGTGTTGGGTGATTTGTTGAGCTTTCTTGTGCTCTGCGCCTCAATAGTTCGTTGTTGGCAACGTCCTTACCCCGTGCCCCCTCCTGGACCATCTGTGACAAAATATCTTTATTGCTCATCGGATTCTTCCTGCAGTGTCAATGCAATATTCCGATTTTGAACTTGGATGCGAACACGAACAGTTTGCCCCTCTTCACCCCACCCTAGCCCCCCCCCCCGCACCCCCCCCCCCTCTGCTTATTTATCTATCGCATTCTTAACAACGGTCAGGCGAGCATCTCCATCATACTCTGGAGTGGATGTTTTAGTAAATGTTTTTATTAATTTATTTCTCTCTTCCCATCGCGGCGCTTGCTCTCACTTTCCCATCGCTTTCAAACGCTCACGGGGGGGGGGGTCACGATAAGCCAGTGGGGGGGCACACTCGGAACGAGACTTTTTTGTGGAAGTTTTTGTTTTTAAAAAAGACGTCCTCAAAAGTTGATTCCATGGCCCATTTTGTTTGTTCAAGTCAGAATGTGCGTCGTCATCTGCTGCACACCTGAGCGTGATGCGGCTCTAGAACTATTTTAGTCAAAGACAAAATCAATAAAATGTCTTATTCTTCTTCCAGGATTTCTCTATCGATGATTCCGTGGCCTTAGATTGTATATTTGGAATTTGCGTGTCTCTCCCTCTCCCCGTGGTCGCGTGGATTTTTCTACGGGTCCTCGGGCTTTTCCCTCCACAACATCAGGCGTTAAGAGGATGTGGCGACTGCTATACATTTCTCCACGATAAGCCACTTTGTAGACCTATCATTTGTGGCCAGGTCGCTTATGAAAAAAAGATACATAGCTCAGTGGGCCTTAGCTGGTCAAATTTAAATAAGTATAACCCGTAAAAACAAAGTTTTTCACTATAAATCCTTTATATGCGTGGCGGCTAGAGTCCTCTCGTCCTCTGGCTTGAGATGGCTGCCACCTATGGGTCAGATGATTGCATTGCACCATTAAGCAATTGGTAATGAAATATAATATTTTTTGTCCTAAAAAGTGTAAAATTTTGGAAAGAAATTTCACGAACAATAATTGTCTGGCACAACGAGTCTGTGTGGAAAATGTCAGCTCGATTGGATCACGGGAAGTGGGTTAAAAAACGACCGAAAGATTTGCACGGTCGTAAGCAAGCAAGCGAACTTAATATAAAGGATTTAAAAAGTTTAGTTTCGAGTTTGTTTGGTGTTGGAACATCTTAACCCCTTGTGTATTACTGTCAGCATGGGTTAAAGCCTCGTCTGTAAAACAAGCGTCGTAGAATCCCACTCCATCTCTCTGGACCTCTGTATTTTACGTGCTCTGAAAAATGGTCATTGCCCGAAACGTTGCCTATTAAAATATGCATCCTTTTAAATGCCACAGTGCTATCGATACAAAGACAAAGATTCACGGTATAGGCTTAACAGATTTGTAGGGGCAAGTGCTGTTAGCGAGCACCTATAAAGGCCGGCACGGCACACGAGGAGGTGGGTGGCCAACACCACGCGTTTGTCTCCCTAGTGGCGAGGTTCACACATCGTACCAGGTACTCATTTGCGGCTGAGTCCACCTAGGGGAGGCCCAGGACCGTTCAGATAATCGTCACTGGTGTTGGCCGTGAGCGGGTATTGAACCCGGGTCGCCAGGTTCGTAGCGCAGCGCGCTAACCACTACACTACCGCTCCCCCCCGCTATCGATATACAAAGATCCCCCATATAGCCTTAACAGACTGTAGGGGCAAGTGCTGTTAGCGAGCACCTATGAAGGCCGCAACGGTACACGAGGGGGTGGGTGGCCATATATATACACACACACGCACACACACGCGCGCACACACACACGCGCGCACACACACGTGCACACACACACACGCACAAAAACGCAAGCCACGGCGGCAGGAGAGAGAGATAACATCGTCACCAATTGTGTAAAAAAATACTTTTATCTCAACCTTAGGTGGGCACCCAACGTTGGATGGCCGCGGGGGGTGGTGTGGACATTCGACAGATTTGGCTCGGATGTTGTGAACGCTGGGACTCGCGAGCACCTTTTGGGCAGATCTCTCTGAGCCCCGATCACGCAACTGGCCCTGCCAACGTGCCTGGCCCAGACATCACAAGACCGCAGTGCCACACTATATCTCAACGGCTGGCTGGCTGGCTGGCTTAGTAAACAAATATTTGTGCACGTTTACATACTGTATAAACACAAATACGTGCGTGTGTGTTCAATATTTTAAAAGCAGGCATCATGGAGGAAAAACCAAATATTTCATAAGTTTGTAAACCACAGATTTCCGCCCCAGCCACTTGTGTAAATGTCGACCTGAGCCCGCTTACGCGTGCTGTGTTTGTGAACGGAAGGGGGTCCAGCCTCTGCTGCCTCAAATGCACCCCGCTCCTCAAAGAGTCCCCGGGGTAAACGCGGCTTCGCGAAAATGCAGACCGAGGTCTCTTTGTGGAATGTCAACCTCAGATTTCACCACCTCACCCATCTACCCACTCACCCATCCACCCACCCACTCACCCACCCACTCACCCACCCACTCACTCACCCACTCGCCCATCCACCCACTCACCCATCCACCCACCCACTAACTCACTCACCCACCCATCCATCCATCCACCCACCCACCCTCCCACCCACCCCCCATCCACCCACCCATCCACCCACTCACCCACTCCCCATCCACCCACTCACCCATCCACCCACCCACTCACCCACCCACCCACTCACCCACCCACTCACTCACCCACC